ACCGACGGAGTAACTGCAGAAGTTGCACGGATCCGCCTGTCAATCTCCCGTTCCATCCTTCCCTCACTCGTGAACAAGACCCCAAGATACTTTCTTTCTAGTTCACTACACACAAAGTGAAATATTTCAAGCCTTTATTTGTTTCAATTTTGATGATTATTTTTTTTCATATTTAAATATTAAGTATAAAAGAAAAAAAAAAAAAAAAAAAAAAAAATCCCAATCCAGTATCCTTTTTCCACTTTTAGCGCATCATATACTCCACACATCTGAAGTATCCCATTTTCATTTTTCTTACGGTACTGTATGCTGCCTTCAAGTGCAGTCAAAGTCTCAAAGTCTGTATCACTCATCCACTGATGGATGTCACTTCTGAGGGTGTGATGTTTGATTTCCCAAAATACAGCTTCTCCTTCTTTGCTTCTCTTCCATGAACATCAAAGGTGATGAAGACATGAGTAGACAGTTAAGGGAATCTGCATAGTGGAACTGGATCAGGTGAAGGATATGAGCTTAGCTACTAGAGGAAATAAAGGCTGATAATTTATTCATTGCTGAAAGAAAATGTTTTGCTCATATGTGATGCTTTGATGTTCCTCTTTTAATAGAGTATTTATCCGCTGGGTGTTCAAGGGTTTAGGAGTAAAGAGATAGAATGAAAGAAAACTGACATATGCCGAAAAATCCTTAGGTCACGTCTCTTCTTTTTGATCTTATACTGTTAATATAATGTCTGATGTTCTGCATTTCTGAACACTATGCTGCGTTCAGTTTCACCCTCTGCTGGGTTTTCTTAGACATGACTTAAGGGTCTCTGTTCTTGTTAGGGAGCCTGTCAATTCACTGTCTCCAATATGAGTGTTTTAATTTTCAAAGTAAGGGCAAATCTAACTTTTCATTCTCGACACTCTAGAGATTAATACAATACTGCAGGGAAAAATCAGACCTGTAACATTCAGACCAGTTACACAAATTTAATAAATGTATTGGGTTGGATATTTCACATCGGTCCAATCAGATAGTTAACTACTGATATCCACCTATTCAGTTCACCCCTCTCCTCTCTGTGGGAGCTGCTGGTGCCTTCATTGTTTTCTTGTAAGCTCCAGAGTTTGGAGGTAACAATCATGCAAGCAAAGTGTAGTGTTTTTGATTTTCAAAACAAATGACAAATTATGAGCAGTTTCAGGGATGGAGGATTATTTTGCTAAATTATTTAGGCCTACCTCCAAAATGTTGGCCTATCATAAACAGAAAAACAGCTCTGAGGTTTGTTATAATGCATATTTGATATAATATGGTGCTCTTAAAAGGCTTTATATATCAACCCCTCTGGTTCTGCATTTTCATTAGAATTCACTGTGCTTGCACTGTGTGTGACTGATGGAAGGTTTTGGCAAAACTGTGCAATGCCTGTTCTTCCTGGGGTTTGTTCCATTTTTTTCTTGTTCAGGGTTTTTTGGAGATTGGCTGGTCTAAGGACAGGTGGTATCCTATGCAGACTGTAGAGCTCCTTTTTTATTTGTGGCTATATATATTAAATAGTCTTGGTTTGTCATTGCTATTGGTTATAACATTTTAACACTTGACAAAATGAAGTAATGTTGCTACAAAGAAGCCTGCCCATACTAGCAACATGACCTGTTGCTCAGTTCCTCTGAGCTGTTGTACTTAGGCTAAATGCTGCTGTTTTGTGCAGTCTGTGTGTGGGCATGTTGTTGATGACAAGGACCAATAAACAAACTGTGGACTGGGTGCTAGCGTTAAACGTGCTTTCAAAATTCTGCAAAGGTGTCAATTGGCCATTATTTAGCCATTCTTGCACAATTCGACCGAATTGACGTTTTTTCTACAGTCCTCGAAAGCAGCACCATATCGCAGCGTCGAACCAGGTGCCTCTGCCGGGCGGCTTCACAGCCAATGGAGGGATTATAACGGGGTGGTATGGCGGACAGAGGAAAGAGGAAAGCCAGCCCGCCTGGCCGCAACATCCAGGTGACCTCCCCAGCCAGCTTCAGGTAAGAGCCCCGGCCGAGGGAGCGTGGGGATTGGGGCCGAGAATGAGCGATGAGCCGGCGCCACTGTGCAGAGGTGACGGCGCTGATGCTGGATGACCGGAGCCGGTGCAGCTGCGCTCGACTTTGCGGATTCAAGTCGCAATTTCTTGAGTCGCATGTTTCGTGTTTGGGTGTGTCTGGTCAGCAGAGGCCGAAATAAACCGCGTTCTCCGTGCATCTGCTAGAACCAGGTATTTTAAATATGTCGCATACTTTCTGGTTATCTGCTCCCACCGAAGAAACCACACCGACTGGACGTGTTCCAGCTTCTAGTAATGACTTCATATTGACCTTATTGCCTGTTAATTTTGTGCTTCCATCGGCGCAGTACTGACGGATAGTTTCCCCCTCAGTGAGTTTGATTTGTTGCACTATCACTGGTTTTATAGCTTGAACGTATTGTTAGTCGTTGCAACTCCACCACTGTGTGGCACTTGGGATTTTTATTGACAGTAGCCTATTATGACAGCACATTAATTTCCTATCACTATAACAGGCTGTCAGGGGAATATTATGCGTGCAGGACTCCTACTCATTGGTGAGTATACAGTACAACAGCTTTATCAGAGAACTGAAACATACTTATAAAAGAAATGAATGGTTTTAATTTTGTGCCTGTGCAGTTTCTTAATTTGAAGTAGCCCAGTTTATCTAGTAAAATAGCAGATAGCTGCATTTGAGTTGGCTTTGTGTGTTTCATATGAGCTCAACTGAAATCTCATTTGGTTACTGGACTGTTAAGACTCGAATAATTTTGGGGTCTAGGCACATTGTATAAGACTGATTAGTAATCAATTGGTCTCATTAGCTGAGCAGCAAATGAGCAGATTCCACAACCTCCATCACCAAAATTCAAGACACTAATAGTGCAATCAGAGATGTTTAATCACAGCCATTAAAGTTGTAAGAGATTAGTATCAAATTCAGACTGAACTTGATGTGAAAGTTACATGATAAAAAAAAATAGTTTGGGCTTTCAAAATTACACTTTATCATGAGACACCTCAGTTTGCAGCAAATAAAATAATGATGTGTTATAGGTGACCGTACTGATTTAACTAGAGAAAGGAGGCCAGATAGTCCATGACCTTGATTTGGACCAGTCCCAGAGCAGCCATATGTTGGCTTGTTTTCCTCCGTCACTCTCCTGGCCTCGCACCCTCTGGTCAAATCCGCCTTCTCTCATCAACCTGCTGGTGTTGGAGATCAGTTGATCTGCTGCTGTCTCTGCTGGTCTTTATGTGGAGATATTCAGTGACTGGAATCCAGGAGGGAGCAGCTCATCTCAGCTTTTTACTTTGTACCCCATTTTTAGGCACCTAAAATCTTAAGTGTAGAGGTGTCATGTAGTCATATGAGCTTGTGTACAACATTTCTGTATTGTTTATTTACATTTATACTCCTGAATCCATCCACGACCTTACATCATTGTAATGCTTCTCTCTTGATTGTGGTCCCTGTCACAAACCGCTATGATAAAACAAGGACTCTGATGGTAAACCTCGATCAGGACAACCATCCGCTGTGCTTTGTCTGTGTTATAGTTCAACAGCCTGAAACTGCTGCTTGGTGGTTCTGCTTTTGCTGAGCTTGTCGACTGACTTTTCAATTTTTTTACATTATATGTTTTGTGAACTGTTCCTTTAAATTGTCCTCTCGTGCCTTGCACTGTTTGCTTGTGGTGCATGAGGGCGTAGCAGGAGGTTCTTTCACATTAATACTGTGTTCCTATCTGTGTGGGTGTGTCAGCATGTATGGGACGTCAAGACTGGGTAGGACTCCAGTTCATACTGTTAAGGATTTCAGGAATCTATCAATAAGCATCATAATACAAGCACTAGTCACATTTATTAGCACAACCTAATTGGTTAGCATTTCAGTAATAAGAAATATTCTCATGATTCTATTATTCTGATAATACAAATCAAACTTATTAGAGCATATGTTTTAAAATGTTAAAAGACCACTGAATAATGAAGGCACAGACACGGTCTCCCTCGCTCTTCTTCTCAGACTACCTGACATAACCTCTTGCTTTTCTTTCATCCTTTAACTCGGGCTTCCAAACTGATATGGCTCTGCTGACAAGATCTCAGGCGGATTGGTTCACAGGGTGTGGGGCATGAAAGGGGTGTGAGGGTGTTTAAAGCAGGTTTTTAAGGCGTCGCTTTCTGAAAAAGAAGAAAAAAAAAAAACAGGTTTAACTTGCTCAGCTGTCCTTTGCCCTCAGAGTGGGAGAGGATTGAAATTAGCTTATAAAGATGAACAGTAATTGCTCTGGTTGCAGCCCCCCCCCACCACTATCACCACACCCTGCACATTCACACACAAATTATTTACTGCTGCAGCTCAATCCTGCTGACAAGGCATGTTCCACCTGATGGCATCTCCCATCTGCTTGTACAGTACATTTTCCTCCCTCCCCCCTTCTGTTTGTGTCTTGCTCTCTGCAAAAATCTAGTGAAATCTAATTTTCAATAATTGGATCAGAGAAAAATTTTGCAGCCTTAATATAATTGTGATATTGATAAGTGTTTTTACCAGGCCTTTGTTACTATCCTATTTATATAAGAAAGAGAAAATGTGCATAAATGCACATTCACAAACCGTCTTTAAAAGTCCTTTCAGCCCTTGAATACTGGTTGACTTTGGTGGATTTTGCAGAGCAGTTATTTATTTGGCCTAAAAAAAAACAGCAGGAAGCATTCCAAGTAAAGTAACCTGAGGCACAAAGGAACGAGTATGTTTAATATCAAATATATGTATTATTTTAGTAGAAAATAGTTCTGATTTACTGTTAAAGATGAACTGAAATTTGTGTAAGGGAGCATACATTATGTTTATTGAATTTCATTTTTCAAAAGAATAAAATCATCTTTGGGCATGTGCATGTTCAGCTTCAGAGTAGCTGTTGACTGATTAACAGAGCCAGTGGCGCTGTAGATCATTTAAATTAGGGCTACGCTACTGTAAAGTGGAATTCCTGCAGAAGCTTTACATTAAAAGACAGGTAGGCTTTTGATGTGAAACCTCTGTGCAGGGCTGAATTTTGTTGACAGTAGATTAACAGCAGTCACAAAATCAAATGGGTAGAAGTGTGACCGTGACTGTTATGGAATTAGTGGATGGGAAGTGGAAATTAAAATAATTTACAGTAGAGGAAAACAGACATAAACATGGCTTTGTCATATGTTTATTTCATTTTAATGTTATCAGGTTGAAGCAAAATAATTTTCATTATCAGTTTGTTTTTTTTAAGTATTAAAAACTATTTGTTTCAGTACCTGCATTATGAAGGCTCTGGTGCTATTACATGCACTGAGCATGTTGCCATGACCGTCGTGGCCCTTAGAGGGTTAATCAGGCCCTGCTAGGGATTAAACGTCACATAATACTGGGAGGCCGCTCTCTTTCTTTCATTCTTGCTCTTTGGACACAGCAATATAATCAACATATCAGTCGTGGGCACTTTTTCACCAGCTGCTAACTTAGTTTGTCCTCCATTTGGTGGTGGGTAGGTAGGGCACAGTGGGCTTGTCAGAGCTCAGAAACACCTCCTTGATTTATCGATTTAGGTCTTTGGGGGCTAAAATTAGCACAATTCACCTACAGTGTTATTATCCACATATAGTGAAATCAGCTTTGAGATGCAGCAGGAGGATTTAAGGTCAGCAGGGCTGGCAGGGCCAGTGGACTGTACAGTTCCCTGTGAATGGGCTTTGCACGATTCCACACGCACACACACACACACACACAAGATTATGAGAGGAGGTTTAGCCACCTGCTTAAGCCAACAAAGAACAGCACAGGTTAAAGGATCATGATGATACCATTGCTATAGTTCTGAGTCTTAAATTTTTCTAAGTAATGTGGGATTATTATAAAACCTTAGGGATATAAATAAGTGGATGAATTGTGGTTTTGTTTATAACCATTATGGTTAAAACGTTGTCGTGGGTTTTTAACCCTGTTTGGTTTTTTTTTTTTTTTTTTTTTTAATCAATCTTGCTGCATTGCCAGACCTCAGCAATTACCTGGGGAGAGTGCAATACTGTCTTAACTGATGATGACTGATGGCTGAGGATGAATGGAGAGAAAGAAAGGAGGGGGAAAAGAAAAAGAAGGCAAAATTAGGAGTCTTACATGACCAGTGGGTCTCATGAATAAATAAGCATGGCAGTATTTTACAGAAAGAGGGCGACAGAGGAGTGTCCTCTTATGCTGCTCCTGTTTGGGCTTACTGTGGCTCTGGATGTGCTAACACCGGCAGATCCCTGCAGCGGCATAGTAAATCTGAAACACACAGAGTAAACATCGCATGAAGAGAGAGACAAAGAGAGAGAGAGGAGTAGATTATATAACACAGCTGTTCTCTTGCAGCTTCAGCTTTTCTGCTTTAAATAACTCCCCCCTCTATCTCCCTCTCCCCCGGACTGAGCAACAGCGAGGCTCTGAATCGGATGCCTTTCCCATCGACCCGGACGAGCTGCACTCCCCCTCTTGCTCTCTCCCTGCTCACTCCTCCCTCTATCCTTTGCTTCTTGATCCCCTCGCTCCTTCTCCTCCTCCTCCTCCTCCTCCTCCTCTTAGCTGTGGATGCCCTCTTCACTTACAGTATGGACTCAGGAAGGGAAGGAGGAGAGGGATGGATGGAGGACCAGTGGGAGAAATGGTAGGGTATCGCTCTCATTCTACTGCTTTTTCTTTTTTCCCTCTGGCATGCAGCAACATGGCTGTGTGTGACCTTGCGTGTGTTCTTGCTGTATGTCATTCTTCTTGCATCTTTCAAAGCTCGGGACAGGCATGCCCTTGAAGGAGAATCTATGTTTGTGCTTAAAGCAGAGTGGCAGAGCACGCTCCAGAGGCTTCTGCTTTGTGTTGACCAAACATAGGACCAAGAAAAGCAAGAGAGCACGCGTCACACTACCGGTTTGTGTGTATATGTTATGACAGCAGGAGAA